CTGCAGGGACTTCTCCAGGCAGTTGCCAGGAGTCAACACTGACTTGAAGGCACCCCCCCCCCAAATTAATTAATGTACCCCAAATACTCCTTTCTCTCTCTCATACACAAATATTTTTTTGCACAGAAATGCACAAATACACATGCATCCCCTTCCCTTCTTTCAGCACAACAGCAAAAAAGGAGAAAAGAAAAAACAAAATGGAGCTGGGAGAGGGGGGAGAAGTAGCTATGCTGGGAAGAGCAGGGAGAAGATTGGAGTTGAGATGAAATGAGAAGAGGTAACTGGGTAAGGAAGGAAAAAAGAAAGACACCATGTTTAGATATACTAAAAGACTTGTAATTCATCAGTAGCAGGGATGAGTCCCATCTCACCTAAGTTAGTCCTCAAATGGATCCATGCTTTACAGCAGCTATTTTACATCCTGCCCATGTGTGACACCTCTTCCTTAATTCATAGGTAATTATTTTTAGAAATCACTGATTGTCCTCTAGTTTACAGGTGTTGACTACTTTAAGTCAGGGATGGGCAACCTTTACCATTCCTTCCCCACAACATAACTGAAAAGTTGAAAACTCTTCCACAAAGCCATCAGATCTCTTGAGAATTGGAGATATTTGCAAGATTTTGGTGCTCTCACATGAAATATAGTACATTTTTGGCATTCTTTCATGAGATCTTTGTGAGATTTTGGTGTTTGGGGAAGCAATATAGATAGTCCTTGAGTTACGTCCATTTGTTCAGTGACTGTTCAAAGTTACAATGTTGCTGAACGAATGGTAGTTACGACTGGTCTTTGAAATTCCGGCCGTTACAGCACTCCTGCAGTCGAGTGATCAAAATTTGGGCGCTTGGTGACCAGCCTGCATTTACGACTGTCACATTGTCCCAAGATCACATTCTCCTGCCTTGCGCAAACTACCTCTGCTCCCCTCCACCTGTCTCCCCCCATATCTGCCTGCCCTTGTGCCTGCCCTGCATTCTGCTGCTTACTCCTGCTGCCCCTGTCCCTGCCGCTGTCCCCAGCTGACCTTCACTGTTTTCCTTCTGCTGCTGGCCTGAGATCCAAGAGCTGGGTGAGGGCGCGGCCTCAGGATGCATGCGGTGGAGCCTTGTCTGCTGAAGAGCACTCGCTGGGCCCGGCAGGAGCAGGCAGCAGGATGCAGCTGGCAGAGGAGGCAGGGTGGCAGTGCAGGCAGAGGAACCCCGTCTTCTGCCGCTGGTGCGAGGAGTGATAGCCTGCAGATTGTGGAGTGTGCAGTGGGACAGGCCTGCGAGGCACGTTGCGCTCTGTCACTGGCCAGGGTAGAGACGTGGCAGCGGTGGCTGTGGGGAGTTGTTGTTTGGGGTGGTGGCGAAACTGGAGGAAGCAGAGGGACAAGGGCTTCCCAGAGGAGCAGTGCAGCTCTGCAGCTTTAGTTGGAGGCACTCGTGGAGAACTGACCTGCAGGCTTCAGCAAGGGGTGGAGGTGGGCCCAGCACTGACATAGCCAACCTGCAGGCCTCACAAAGGGTCAGCAACCTCCAACGTGTTCTGACATAGATTTTCCAATGCATATCTGTCTTTGGCATATTAATTTCTTAGGCTGTTCTTACCATCAGTATTATTCAATATCTCTTTCTCTGCCGATTCCTGTAGAGTGTCCTCCCTAAAAAAAGCTGTGGACCAAAAAAATCGAGCTTTGACATGCCTGAACCACGTGATGAATGTGAGTGCAGCTTTGCTGTCAAGCCAGAGTGGTCCGAAGCCCATCACTTGCACCATCGCTGCGCATTGGAGCCATATGCTGGTCCAGGATACCTTGACAATCTCCTGCATCTTGGAAAATTCAAGTGAATGCAGCCTGGAGCGGGGCTGGACCTTCTGTGTCCAGCTTTTTGCCAACTCCTGTGACTTTGAGGAAACCTCCTCAGATTCTGCAACCACCTATACCTTCCCTATAGATCAGCTCCTTCCAGGGAACAAGACAGAGGTTACCCTTCCACTTGGCCCTGCTGAAGGCTCCAAACTGGATCTGCCTTTCACTGTCTCCTGCTCGCTCTACTATAGTTTGCAGGAGATCTTAGGCACTGCTTCTGAATCCACTGAGCTTCTGGATGACCTGTTTTCTGACGATTCTCCTGGCCTTTCCCTGGACAGAGAAGGCATCTGCCTGCCCTTGAGGGAAGTCACCATTGATCTCTTGCAGTGCCTTCGCTTGGATGCCAACAATGGGACGTCTGAAGCTGGCCCACCTGCTGTGGCCATTTCTGTCCCTGGGGATCCAGTTGAAACCTTCTTGAAATTATCTCTCGAGAACATGGAAGAGAATGATGAGCTTGTCCGAAAGGGACTGAGCACTGTTGATGAAAATTACTTGGCTCCAACTGTAGCTTCAATCAAGGTATCCTCTGAACTGCTGAGAACAGCTTTGAAGGACATCTGTACAGGTGTGTGTTACCTGTGAATGCTTTTAAACTTTCTGCCTTTTGTCTTCTTGTCCTTCATCAGATTTAGCACCTCCAAGGCCCACCTGCATTGGTAGCTCCCAAGTTCTGTTTGCCCTGAAAAGAACAGTGTCTTTTATTTGCAAAGCAGCTGTTGTGGGAGGTATGGGAGGTCTCACATATCAGTGGGTCAGTTAATAATGTTCTTGGATGAGTTACAGGATGGTAGGACTTGCTGTAATTTTGTTTTGTTTTTCATGCACTCAGCAGAATTCTAACAGAAGGGTTTGGGTTCCATGGCTCTGCAGATGTTGCTACACCACCAGCCAACATGGCAGTGATGAGGGATGTTGGGAATTACAGTTCTGTAACATCTGTGGGGTCCAGGTTTCCCACCCCTGTCCTTCAGAATCTTTTCCAGAATCAGAGAATGTCAAACTAGTAGACTGAAAGCCAGCAATAGCCATCTTTGTGTTTTAATGGGCCTTCCACCAGCCTGCAAATGACTCCCAGATCCTTTGACTTAGCAAGAGACAATGTTATAGCCAAACCAGTAATAGAAACTGGAAAACCTTCCTCTTGACAATTAAAAACAATGCAAGTAGTGCCCATGTACAGGAGCAGATCCTCATTTCTGGCTAATTCTGAGAACTAATTTCAGCCAAGACTAGAGTGGACACTTTGCCAAGACAAGTAATGAAGTGTTTTCTAAGGAGACTCAAATTTTATATTTATGTGATGTTGGATATAAATTTGCACAATTGTTCTCAACGAGGTACTATTGCAGGGAGGAAGATGGCAGGATTATGAATATTTTGCAAGAGTTGTAGCAGTGGTAGACTGGGACTGTAGGCATTCCCTTTGTCCATCTTATTAGAACAGAGATCCTAATTCCTATCAGCAGCATAAGTGTTTAGATCTGTGTGTCAGAATCTTGTGGTACATCCCCCCATCTCAGGTCCAGTTCAAGGCTTCCTACTGGTTGATAGAACATCCAGTAATTATTGTGTATCTTTTTCTAAATTGTCCACTGGGATTCTTTTATTTACACCATTGTGGCCTCAGCTTCCTAAAGTTGGGCCCTTACATCCAACAGGTTATTGGACAATCAAATCGGTCTAGTGTCTTTATTACGATGTTAGTATGTTCCTAGACTTACATACTTTAAGTATATTTGGAAGCCAGTGGCAGAGACAGGGAATGTCATCAGGTATTGCAGGGATCCTCATGCTTTGGGTAACAGAGACCGCCTTTCTTCCCTTCTTTTGTTATCATTGCTCAGAAGTGTCGCTATGCTGTGCTGTGCTGCGATGGCTGCTGGCTGAAAATGCTGCAGTGGATGCCCTTCGGAGCCAGGAGGTGGCAGTCATGCAGGGGTTGGCCCCAGATGGAGGCAAAGTGCAGCTGAACATCCGAGAGGCAAGGCATGAATTGTGGTTGGGCCGGCAGAAGAGGGGAGGTGGGAGAGGAGAACCTTCCAGATCCAGGATTGCATTTCACTCGGTGGGTGGAGATCAGCATGGTGGTCCTAGACATGATGCAGTTTATAAAGATTCATATAGTAATCTTGAGTGATTTCAAATGCTGTCTGCCACGTGCAGTTCCCCTTTCACGGGCCAAATGTTCTCTTGCTACATGTCTCATAAGGTCTGTGGCTCTAATTCAGTCTTTATTTGTAAGGCGTCTGAGCCAAAAATACCCTAAGTAAGAAGCTTAGAGCTTCACATCTTTGTCATCCTGCAACAGAATTAAAGTTGTTCCTTTTTTTGGAGGTTTGGCACATAATACAGGGCCAAAGGGAAAGGATTTCTAGCTCCATACAACTTCTTGTGCAGCATATTCAGAGTTCTTCAGGAACAGGGATACCCTTGTCTCTCTGGCTGTTGTCCAGTTGTTGTTACATATGCAGCCAAGGAAAATAGGGTAACTGACTGTGCACCAGTGTCTCTCCCTGCTTGATGGAGTGGCAGGATCATGATGGCTGAGTTCGGCAGAAAACAATTCTCCAAGAATACTGTGACATCTGAGGGGAATAAGAATGCCTTAGCCAGCACATTGTCTATTAAGCCAGTCCTTTTGCACAAGGCTAGAGAGTCAGAGTCTCCAGTTCCAGCTTTAATTCTTTGCTGCATGGTAGTGGTGGTGGGGATGTTGCTCATGAACTAAAAGACATGTTTAAGTCCCTTACTATTATTAAAAAAAATATTATTGCTAAAGATGGGGAGAAAGAACTTATTTCAGTAAAAAGATCTATGGCCACTGGGTGTAAATGCTGTACAAACCATGTTCTCTCTGTGTGTGACTGTCTCAAAAGAAAACACTTATCTGATTCTATCTCAGCTTTAATTCTGTTTAGTTTCTCTTATCTCAGTTAAGGACGTAAGCCCGAAGTGGCCGCTTGGCTAGAGGAGTCAAGTGTTGAGCATCAAATGACTGACATCTTTGACTCATCCATTTATCTGTGCATGCTTATTTATTTAATTAGATTTAGGTACTACCCAACTCCAAACTGACTCTGGCAGATCACAATATAACAAAAGAAGATAAAAGCACAATACAAAATAGATAAACAAAATGAAACCCTCAGTACAAAAATACTGTATATACAAAACATATCCAACAAAGCCTGGAGAACAGCCAGGTCTTCAAGGACTTCTAGAATGCCATCAGGGTGGAACCCAGACAGATCTCAGGGGTCCTGACAGAATGTAGAGAGATGGTGGGTTCTCCTTCATGGACACATTGATGTGGAAGCCTCACAGCCATCTCTCAGGGATGCTTTAATTTGGACTCCTGCACTGGATAGGGAGTTTGACTCATGGCCTAAGTGGACTGCCCAAATTCTCTGATTCTTTCCCTGGAGGGTTAGGGTTAGGGTCAGGGAGGATAGTCAAGTTTGACTTGTTAATCTCCCACCATTAAAGCTGTTGGCACATTGGGCCTCGTTGCCATAAATTGCTAGCTGTGTACTCCAACTGTAGCTGGTTAGTCCTTATAAGAGAGAGTTAGACCAGCTAAGTCCAGGTGGTGACCAGGTTCTTTTAAGTGTAAGACTGTTGTATTTAATGGGCTTCCTCCTGCCCAAGCTAAGGTAGGAGGCATTTTGTTGGAGCACAATCACACCGTTTCATTTTTTTGTCTGCAAGGGCTCTTCTCCCAAAATTTAAGTTGACCCCTCTGGAAGACCAAGGCACGTGTTAAGTGCAGTGCATGTGTGCTGGATATTAGGATAATATTGAGAAATTGAGAAATGAGAGGATGGAGTGAATCTGATACTTCCTTGGTGTTCTGGGAAATTATCAGGGTAAACAGGCTCTGTCCAGCTAGAGGAAAAATATTGAGGACAGTAAGTTTCTTCAGTAGGCCCAGGAAGGATTTTTATTCTTTGTTCAGGAGCTTCTTGAATGTGGGATTGGGAAGGAGTTTTGGGCTAAGAAGGCCTGCATTTCACTTCAGCTTTTCTGCACTATAAAAGAGCATTACCTTTTGTGTTAGTCATTTAACTAGAATCTGGATTTGGTGGCTCAGAGTTGTATGCATGATCAATACTGATTAGGGCATGGTCTTCCCATCCCAGTTTTTAAAAAGTGAAAATTTGAACTATTTTCTCTGCATTAGTTTGAAGCATTGGAGCAGGCAGATTTTTCCTTGTTGCTAGAGAAGAAACAGAGACAGTGACATCGCAGCTGTGTTCATAGGCCCAGTTCCTTTTCATCTAGACAGTGGGTTGTACTTCAAGCATGAAGCTTGAAGTACAAAATGTCCATCCTAAATTTTGCTGTGGGTCAAACTACATGCTACATGCTAAAGTGCAAGGTAGTCTTTTAAATGAACTAGAAAAACCACTTTGGGAGGAGCCCGTTGACTCCCTTTTCACTCCAGATACATGCTCTCCGAGAATACTTTCCTCCTGCAAAGTTTTAAATTTTGTTAAGCTGCCTTAACAGAACAGAAAGAGAGGGTATAAATCAAGTAAATAAATAAATAATGCAAAATACATACTTGTTTTGGGAAAGGCATATTGAACACCCAGACAGAATAGGTTGAAGCAGAGAAGAAATAAAAAATTGTTATGCAATAGTTACACGTTTGAAATGTTGTTTGGCCTTCAGGGCTCTTACATAAGGTGCAACCCTATTCTCTTCCTCTCTCTCTTTTTTTCCCCTTTGAGTGTCAGTGGTTTGGAACAGTGATTATTTTTCCCTGCCAAATGAAAGGCTTTTTAAAAAAAAGATGACTGACATTTCCTCACTTTGTGGAGTCCTTGGTGCTCTCCGAGCTTGGTTGTTTGATTGCTGATGTCTCATTACCTGACTAGGTAACATCATCAGTGCACTCCCTCACTTCAGTGCACATCCTTACTTTGCTTTCTCACTTTCACAGCTCAGTGAAACTGGTGGCAGTGACGTTCTTGTTTTCCTCCCAGGTGACTGTCAGTGACCTGAGCCCAACAGGTCCTATCGAAGCTGTGGAGATTGTCATCCAGGGCTCTCCACTGGCAAACATGTGTCAGCTGCATCATGCTGTGGTTCGGCGCATTCAGGTATGTGCTGGGGCAGAGAGACGAGTGGAAGAAGGCAGTATGCTTGCCCATTATATCCTGAAAACTTTTGTTGCACAAACAAGATAGAAGTGTGTTTGGGTTGTGATCCAGCTGGAGGTGGGGCTGCATGGCATTTTCCTGTTGCCCTACCCACTGAAAATCTGGGCTGATTTATGAAATAAACTTGTAGCCACATGGACTTCCTCCCTCCCTCTCTCTTAAGAAAGGGAATGAATATTCTCCTGTCCTCATCCTACGGAGCAAAAGCTTGTGAGGGTTTTCTCCCATCATGTAGGCTGCAAAGGGAACAGAAGTAGGTGTGTTTCTCTATGTAGGCTTCTATACTGCTATGAGTGTGTGCAATGGGTACTTACTGCAAGAGATTGTCCCCCTCCCCCTTTCAAATCTCCTTGCCTTTTGGGGACAATAAAGAAAATATATATTTGGGCACATAGTATGGGTTTCCTTAAGGCTTCATAGGTGGGAGGAGGGAATGGCAGTGTATCCTAAAGAGAGGGAGAGAATAGGAAACCCAGAGGTGCTGTGGCCAGTCCTCCATGAGCTTGTTCAGGCCATCATCACTTCACATTTGGAAAGCACAGGTGGTTGGATTTGAAGACGAAGAGTTGGATTTCTCAGTTAACTCACCTTGCCCTGACTTTTATTTTCTTGATTTTGCTCATTTATATACCCTGTGCTCATTAATTAGATGCTTTCCCTATTTAATTCCAGGCAGGCTTCCTTTTGGGGCAACACACAAACAAGGCCCTTGTCTGCAGAGTGCAGAGCCTGGGTGGCACCATATGGAGGAAACCATTCCTTCAGATAGGAGGGTTTTAATTAGTCCTTTTTGTTTTGATCTGATTAACACAGACTCTGATTCTGGAACAAGCTGCCCAGGATTCTTCTCCCCCAGATATCCGAGTGCAGTATCTCCACCAGATCCAAGCCAACCATGAGGTAAGTGGCTACCCAGACTCAAGGTACTAGAGGAAGCAGTGTGTGTTGCACCCTTGTTTCAGGCTGGCTGTGGGAGAACTTCAACTGCCTGCCCTTGGGCTGAGCTCTGTGATTTCATCTGCACAGAACAGGAATATAGGTAGTCCTCGCTTAATGAACCTAAGTGGGACTGGAATTTCCATCACTAAGCAAAGAGGTTGTTAAGCAAAACATCACATGACCGCACCGCTTAGCAATGGTAGTTCCAGCAGTCCAGGTTGAGGTTGTTAGGTGAGGACCTCATGTTTCTCCTGCCCTGCTGGCTCACCTCCACTTCAACTCCCCCCACCTGTCTATCTCCCCCCCATCTCTGCCCTTTCAATGAGGCACAGGAGGGAGAAGATGGCGAAGGTCGGGGGGGTCAGCAGGGGTAGGTGGCGGTGGCGGAATGCAGGGCAGCCAAAAAGGCAGAGATGGGGGGAAATAGATGGGTGGAGGGAATTGAAGCACACACTGTGGTTGTAAATGCAGGTAGGCTGCTAAGTGCCTGAATTTTGATCATGTGACCCCGGGGATGCTACAACAGCTGTAACTTTGAGGACCGGTCATAACTACCATTTGTTCAACGCCGTCGTAACTTTGAACGGTCATTGAGTGAATGGTCAATAAGCGAGAACTACCTGTATGGTCTTCCACGCTTACCTTTAGCCACTCCATTAGAACTGGACAGGCTGAACCATCTTAGAATCTGGCTTGACAGAGTCAATGAGAGACTGAATTTATGGCTTGTTCCGTAATTGTGGACTGCCTCATCCAGTCTGGCATCAGCTGCATTTGTTCTATTTACGCTTTCCATAATTTGATTAGTAATGCCATTCTTTCCCTCCCTGCCTTAGCCCAGGGCTAAAACCAGACATTCATATAAAGCATGCCATGTGATTTCACAGTGCAACCTTTTATGCAACTAAGGATTTCACTGAGGGCTGAGTTTTGTCTTCTCATTCTTCTCCCCATCCCCCAGCACTGGAAAGACACATTGGCCACCCTGGGATTACACAGAGCATCCGAATAGCCCTGCTCCCTCAGGACAAGGTGCATTTTAATCCAGCACTGTGTTTCTCACAGCAGCCAACAAGATGCCTCCGGAGTGCTCATAAGCAGGAGACAGAGATACACCCTTCTTGTTGCTGTTGCTATTGCTGTTGCTGTTGATGATGATGTCAGTTTACTAGACCTCATTTTAGCAGATTCTGGAAGTAGTAGACAAAATATCTTACCATTTCATGTATATGTAATATCATTTTATATATGTGTAAAATCACACTTGCTAAATAGAGGTCTTTATTTTGTCCTCACAACAGCAGTAGCGAGGTTGATTGGACTGAGAGACAGTGACTGACTAGATTAAAATACCTCTGCAGTTGACATTTTGAGGCCTGCTTCCCCAATACCTATTTTTGGGGTCTAATAGCCTTTAGTAGATCTGTCCTTGATCAATTTATCCTCTCATGTTATAGACTGCCAGTTAGATGTGGCTCTCACCACATCTTGTGGTAATAGATTTCACAGATTAACTATGTGAATAATGCATTCATTCTGAGCTATCTGTGGTCTACATGTGGCTACTGAGTTACTTTCTGTTCGTGCCATGGAACCATAGCTGCAGAACCATGCTGTCTTGTGCATGGAGAAGGATTTAATAGGAAATCCCCCTTTTAAATCAAATATGTACAGGTAGTACTTGCTTAATTACCACAACTGGGACCAGCAACTCCATTGCTAAGCAATGCGATTGTTAAGCGAGACACACAACCGCGACTTGCAATTTTACTGCCAGCTTCTCCATTGACTCTGCTTGTTGAAAGCTGGCCATGAAGTCTGCAAATGGCAATCACATGACTGCAGGATGCTGTGACGGTCATAAGTGCGAGGACTGGTCATAAAGTTACTTTTTCAGCACTGTTGTAATTTTGAATGGTCACTAAACAGGGCAGTTGTTAAGCAAGGACTACCTGATTAGTTTTATGTATCTGCCTGTATCACTAGATTCTGAGCAGAGTACAAAAACATAAAAGCAGCCTATGCAAGAAAACATTATGACCCTTTCTCCCCAAAACAGAAAATACTAATACCCCCTACCAAAACCTATAAAAGAAGAAAAAGTGGCAGCCCAGCCATCATTAAGCTTTGAAAACCCACCTGCATGAAATTATTTTCACAGCCTTGCAAAATGTTGGCACCGAGTGGGCCAGTTGTATCTCTGGAGGCGACATGTTGCAAAGCATCAAGGACTTATCAGAAAAGACCTGTGGTGGGGTGGCCAGACCTTGAACAAGCCCTCATTAGATGACTTGACAGGAGAGGCAGGAACATTTTGGAGAACACAGTCCCTTTTCAGCCCAGAATAAGACTATAAAGGGCTTTATAGGTAATCAGTGGAGTGCCTGAAGAATAGGAGCTGCATTACGTACCCATTGTAGCTTCCAAAGCGTCTTCAAAGGCACCCCCGCTTAGAGTGCACAGCAGAAGTTTGGATGCGTGGGGAGGAGGGCTTAGAAAGCCACGTTCCCCAGTTAGGCATCGCCCTGCCCAGCGAAGGCAACCACTGTGCGCAGCTTCCTGATCAGTCACTCTTCTTCTTTAGATGCTGCTCAAGGAGGCCCAGTCCCTCCGTGGTGACCTGTGTCTGGGGAATGATTCGGATGCAACGGTGGAGAAGCTTCTGCAGGTTTATCGGCAGCTACGCAACCCCAGCCTTGTGGTCCTGTGAGTGTCAAGCAGCGGCACCCCTTGGAGGATCCCACTGCCACCTCTGCCCAGAGCTGGTGGATGAAGGGAGCAGCAGGCTGGGCGCTTTCTAGACGGGAAGCTGAAGCAGAGGCATGGCAGAGAAGGGGTGGGGGATTCCAGCAGGCAGACCCTGGCTCCTCTGGAGACTGAAAGTTCAGGGGCCAACCCTTTTCCCTTTGAACACGGCTAGCTTTTTCCCCCCAGGCTCCACATTTCTGCCCACCCTGGACAGGCGACTGGTTGCATTGTGACACTCTCACACGCAGACGGTCCAGTCCTTGTGTGCACGTATGTGCAGAGATGCCCAGGTGCATGTATGTAATTTGGATGGCTAGCAAGACGCCCTCGTGGCTGTGGGTGGTGTGTTGTGGATTACACTTGATGTTGTTAGTTTAGCTTTTCTCGCTTTTGGTGGTACTTACTCCACTGTGGCAGGCAAGTCTGCTGAGTTGTAGATGGGGAAGGGAGGGGGAGATTTTGCTGGAAATTCAATGCCTTTTTGTTTATTCCAAGCAGCAGCAGCAGCCGCCACCACCACCACCACCAAAGGGCTATGCTTCTAGCTGTGTCGTATTTTTCAAGAACACTGTGGAAAAACAGGCTGTCACATACATAGGTAACTCAGGGGGTGCTCTTAGTATGGCATCCCTTTTTCTAATGGGACATTTTGCTCCTTTTTCCAATATTTTTCCTTTCTATAAACTACTTGCTTGTTGATTTCCAAGGCATAGACTCCTGCAGAGTTGTGTATATATGTGTTCTAACCCTTCTTTCCTTCCCGAGGGCCTCGTATCGATGGAAAAATGTCCAGCATTTTGTCAAGCTGTTAACTCTTGGGATAGCCTCCCTTGGCTGGGCAGTCCAGTCATGGTCCCTTCCCTTCCCTTCCCTTCCCTTCCCTTCCCTTCCCTTCCCTTCCCTTCCCT